AATTTCCCTTCTCTGCGACTGTTCCATTTTGAATTCCTATCAGCAATACAGGAGAGAGCCTCTTTCTTCACAGCACTATCAACAGAGTATACTTTCTAGCCGAGATTCTTGCCAATAGATAGATGAGAAGTAATTTCTCAGTCAGTGCAATTTTAGTATGTATGTTTTTCTATGCTTAAAGGCGGCTTTACTTTTTACTAAATTTCATATATTTTTTTGCTAAGTGTCCTTTTGTTTTTAAACCATAAAAAATAATATTTAGAGCTGGGCACTGGGGCTCATGGCTGAGTTCTAAGGATTGCACTTCAAAGCCAGCCTGGGCAGGAAAATTTGTTAGACTCTTAATAAATCCTTGTAATAAACTACTTAAGAACTCTTAATAAACTACTCAAAAAAAGATAGAACTGGCACTGTAGCTCAAGTGGTAGAGTTCTAGCCTAGAGCACAAAGAGACTCAAGGACAGTGCCCAGGCCCTGAGTTCAAGTCTCAGCACTGGCAAAAAAATCATAAAAAATATATATACATACATACACATGTATGTGTATATATATGTGCATATATATGTGTATGTGTGTATATATAGGCAAGAACACTACCACTAAGCCACACACACATATATATATGTATATACATACACATATATATTTAGCTTATTTTTTTTTTTTTTTTTTTTTTTTTTTTATTTTTTTTTTATTATTTTTTTTTTTTATTTTTTTTTAAATTTTTTTTTTTGGGGTCCGGTTGTGGGGCCTGAACTCTGGGCCTGGGCACTGTCCCTCAGCTCAAGGCTAGTGCTCTACCACTTGAGCCACAGCGCCACTTCCGGCTTTTATTTTTGCTTATGTGGTGCTGAGGAATCGAACCCAGGGCCTCATGCATTGCAAGGCAAGCGCTCTACCACTGAGCCACCTTCCCAGCCCTTTAGCTTATTTTTCTTTGTGTACTAGTACTGGGGCTTGAACTCAGGGTCTGGTACTCTTTATTACTTCTTTATTTTATTTATTTATTTTTAGGGCCTGGTACTCTTGCTTGGCTTTTTTGCTCAAGGCTGGCATTCTATCGCTTGTCCCATACCTCTACTTTTTGCTTTTTGTTAGCTAATTTGAACTAAGAGTCTGATAGAATTTTCTGCTCATGCTGGCTTTGAACCAAGAACCTCAGATCTCACTCTCCTAAGTAGCTAGAATTACAAGTGTGAAACACCAGTGCATAGCTACTTTGGGATATAGGTTAAAGTATTTTTCTCATTTGTCATTAATTTTTTGATCTCGCTTATAATTAGAAGGGCACACTCATACACATTTCATTTTATTACTGGATTTCATGCCATCAGACTGAAGATGAAAAAAGATTATTGTATTGCAAATGCCTTTTTATGGTTTTCATTTTCTTTAGTAGCATAGTCTGATGATCAGTTCCTAATTATAATGTGCTGTCTCCATACCTACTCCTCCTGGAGTGCTCGGTACTCAGTACTAGGTACTGGGTCAGTTCTTAGGAAGCCGTTTTGTCTTCATACATGTCATACTCAAAACTAACCTGTCCTTTTTTAAGAAGAGAGACTGTCATTGTCAATATGTGCTTATTTCTTTCTGTTTGTGTCCCCTGAATGTTCCCCCTTTCTTATCTATTTCTTATTTGAGAATTCTTTGCGGAGACATGGTATTTTTAATCGCTTTTGATTTCCCTCCTCCCTCACAAACACCAGGCAAGGTTAGAGCTACAATGACAGACCCTCCAGAGTTCTGCTAGTTCCCTGAAACACAGACTTCCTTACTTGGGAGGTTGGAAAAGTACCTGAGAATTCTTCCTCATTTCTCTCCCCACCCCCTTGTCTGTAAACAATTTAATTTGTATCAGAATATAGTCATTGTCACTTGATTTATTATTATCTTGGGGCATAGATTTGGAGAGGCAATAAAAATTGTACCGAGTTCAGAGTTTCAAGTTGATAGATAGGAGGGTTAAGTCACGTTGTTTTATGGCACAGAATATGGCTATAGATAACAACAACATTGGATAGCAACAAGAGACTATTTGTTCTTGCCAAAGAAATAAAAGATAAAATATTAGAGAAGATGCTAACTAGCCTCACGTATCTTTCCACAATATACTAATGTATGGTAAAATCACATTGTACCCCATAAACTTACACAGTGATTTGTTAATTTCAAACAAAACTTTTAAGAAAAGAATAGTACAAATTAGGTGGTGATGTAACTCTAAAGCCTCTGGTAACCTGATGTTTCTCAGGAATTGTTTGCGAGTCTTATTTTCTCCCATTTCTTGGAGATGGTAATCTTTTTTTTTAATTGTGAAAATACTGTACAGAGGGGTTACAATGACATGGGCGAGATAATGAGTGCATTTCTTATCAAGCATTGTAGCCTCCTCCTTTGTTTCCCCTTCCCAACCCTTCCCATGGAGATAGTAATCTTCATTTTAAGACACCTAAGTTTCTTGAGATCTGAGTGTTAAGCATCCTCAGGGTGGATATCTGGATGTTAAATCCAAAATGCAAGGAGATATGACAAAGTAAACAGGACTCAAGAAACAAAGGACCTTCACTCAATTTGTCAAATCATTTCTAAATGACTCCATGTTCTTGACAACATATTTGTGTGTGTGTGTGTGTGTGTGTGAAGGAAATGGGAAAAAAATACATCAGAGGGACCCATCAGCTGCACTGGACATTGATGAAAATGAACTAAGCAACTCAAGGGCAATGATGGAAGGGAGGGAATGAGAAGGAAAGAGGGAACAGCTAATACAAAGCAAAAGAAAAGAAATGCACATACCACCTAATGTGGAAGAAATAGCTGTATTGTCAAAGCTCATAGAATTCACAAACATTATAGATGATGATAATGACAGTTTGCCTTGTGAAGGTTAAAAATGAGTTTGTGACTTTAAGTATCACTATCTTACCACACTGAAATTTGTGGAATTTATGTAATCACTTAATGTCAATAAAAAATGGCTTAAAAAGAATACTCAGGGTGGTTGTACTGGGAATGTGGCTTAGTGGTAGTGTGCTTGTCTGGCATGTATGAAGACCTGGGTTCAATTCCTCAGTGCCACATGAACAAAATAAATTTTAAAAACTTTTGAAAGAATACTCAGGGTGGCTCACCTGTGTGAGTCAACTCACCGCTGAGAAACAGGAGACTGATGACAGCTCCCAGTTAGGGGGTGGGACTTATTGCTGTGAATGTGCAGAGAGCATTAGACGGTGCAGACATAGTGATTTTTAGCTTATCCAAGAAACAGATGCATAATTACACTGTGGAGTAGAGAAAGCAGGTATGGTTCATTTTCTTACTGCCTTCTTCTCCTACTGTAGTTTTGGAAGTTTCCTTTATCTTGTCTCCACTCATTTCCTTTGTCTTTTTTCTTTTCCCACCCTGCTTCCTCCTGCCCTCCCTCAACTGTCCATAATAAATAGAATAAATTTCAGATTCCTTCCCATGGCTCAGAGCCATCTAGGGTCTGGCGCCTGCTTCCCTCCATCCTTCCCTTCTTTGTACTGATCTCTCTGATCAGCAATACTCTTGGCATCCTGGTCTCCTATTCTTTACACAAAACAATCTGTGCCCTCTCTCCTCCATGTCTCTTATGGCTTTTTCCTTTCCATCATTTTGATCCTGCTTGAAATGCTTTTCTAAGATGTCTCTAGCAAGGCAGCATTTCCATCACCACAGCATGTGATGCTCTAACCACCTTAGCTGTCACAGACTTCATATTTGTCAAAGTATTAGGAATTATTCTGAAATATTTTGTTTCTTTTTTTTTTGTAGATGAGGTTGGATGGCCAATATTTTCAGGTGTCTTCTTGACCCTTCAATTTTCTAAGAATACACTGGCTATGCCTAAGAATTAATAAATGTTCTAATTGTTGTCTCCCAGGTGTAGCAAGAGTGGGTCAGGGCCCAGTGTTAGGAGGTATACATGAATAGTACAAGTTATGATAATGATATTGTCTTATTCCATTGAAATTCTTTTTAATCAGTCTTTTTTGGTCAGACTTCTGGAAGTCCTAGAGTGCAAACGACTGTGATTAAAATGTTAACCATCATGAAAGGTGATATTATAGAAACTGATATTGTTGGTTACCTACATAATGGCCCTTACCAACTTGTACGAAGGTGTGGAACTTTTTTTTTTTTTTTATCAGATCTAACCTTGGCCCAGAAATGCAATATACAGAGAAGATTGACTTTGGCAGAAGTTACAGGGATTCCTGTATTCTGTCCACCCCTCAAAATAGTGTCCAGAGGACCACTTTCTGGCATCCACAGCTACACATTTGGGAAACTGAGGCCCAGGGAACTGACTTGACTTTTATAGGGCCTTAAAATGATTGACAACTAGACTAAAGCCCAGCTCCTTGAATGGCAGCATTCTGTGACTTACCTGTTAGTCTCTGTAGAGAATCAGCTTGGAGCGCAGTGTGTGTGTGTGGGGGGGGGGGGTGCCCACAGGGAGAGAAGACTGGGGCTTCCAGGACCATGCTCCTCCATGATAGTAGATGAATTACCTGATAGCACCACCTTCTCATCTGAAGATCCTTTGGGTGGCATATTATTACTGAGAGAAAGAGAAAGAAAGACTGCTTTATCTGAATGTTTACTGTGTTTCTACTTATTTCTTTGACTGCATGTATTATAGAGAAGATCTTTACCCTGCAGGTGTCTTCTCATTAGAGAAGACTAGCATGGCTCTGATCAAGAAGGGCAGTCATTTCCCAATGACTCTTCTGAGCTTCATTTTTCAATTTTATTTTTATTTTATTTATTTCTTTTGGGGGGGGGGTCTGGTCGTGGGGCCTGAACTCTGGTCCCTCAGCTCTTCAACTCAAGGCTAGCGCTCTACCACTTGAGTCACAGTGCCACTTCCGGCTTTTTTCTTTTTGCTTATGTGGAGCTGAGGAATCAAACCCAGGGCCTCAGGCATGCAAGGCAAGCGCTCTACCGCTGAGCCACCTTCCCAGCCCCTCAATTTAATTTTTAATTGCTATTATATAAAGGTGATAATACCAAAAGGTTACAGTTACTGAGCTTCAGTCCAGTTTAATATAACTTGTTTGGCTCAATTCATAGACCCTGTCAGCCGTAGTACAGATTACCTTCTCAGACGGAAAACAGACCTTTCTGTTAAATAATTTTCTGAGATATGTGTGATCTAGCAAATATAGTTTAGGAATATATTAATTTCATTTCCAACTACGTATTGTGGTGGGTGGACGTCATTTGTGCCATATGCAACTGTAATGTCCCAGGCATCAATAATGCCCACATGGAGATCCTCAAAAATGTCCTTGATGACCAGATACTGGATGTATCCGTGGAAGTTGCCAAATCTCTCCACATCACTGTGCATCTCCCTGGTGTTTTCTGTCTTGATGATAACCACAGTGTCTGGGCTTCTCAGAAGAAGTCTCTGTACCGCTTTGTGGATGTTGAGGGCTCTTCGGATGAAAACATTGATGGGGAAAGGTCTGAAATGCTGGCCCAGAGAAATAACAATGAAAGTGTTCTTCTCTCCTCCCGTTCTGTCAATTACTCGGGCCATGTTTTCCATCTCTTTGACGGAATAGACCAATGATCCAATCAAGGGATAGCTATGTTTTTGCCACTGGATGTTGATATTTCTATCCAAATCCACAGCAAGCTGGTGTTTCAATTTTCCAAACTCATGCAGGTCCACGGGTTTCAGTGCTGTTGATAACAGGCGACCACAAAATGAAAGGAGAACAGAATTACAAAGATGTGCTCATCGGTAAGATAGGAGAAAATGTTTTGATGTTTGAATTTACATAAGCAAATCTGATTTATCTGATTTATTATTACTATATATTATATAACATATATATCTGATTTATTATGTATAATGTCTATTATATGACATTATTATTATTCAGGGGGGCATTCTTTTGATGAATACTTAAAGAATTAAACCTGTTATATGGACGTAGGAGATCATGCTTAACCTCTTGTAGAACCACACAGAAAATATCAGGGATGGTTAGTCATTGAGAGGAACACCAATGGAGGATAATGTGGTGAGTTTTGTAACAATTGCTTTTTTATAACTCATTAACTGTGGCTTGAACTCATTTGAAATAAAACTTCTAATTGATGTCATTAACATGGAGAGGCTGACTTAAACCAATTTCCCCAACTGTAGATTTCATTAAATCTGAGATTATATTCTACACTTCTATTTATTTTCATATACATGAAATATTAACTGAGTATATCATCTTCAAAAAAATGATAATAGTGATCGTGAACTCCTTTTTAGTTTACAAAATATTTGTTTGGGCTGATACTGTCATGCTCTTCAATAAAAGTTATTGTGTTCATATATATATAATGTTCATAACTATATATATATATATATACATATGTATACACATATACATATATATATATAAAATTGCCATGTTGTATGGAAGCAAACCAAGCAAGGAAGTCAAATTGTCCACGCTCACACAGTTAGTGAAAATTTTCTGCCTTATTTTGACATTTTTGAAAATAAGCACAACATGCAGACTAAGATGAATTCTTTCCATTTTTATCAAGCTACTTAGATCTTTACCAGAATATCAGGGCCGGCTGTTTTACGCATAGAAATTATGAAAAAGAAGTCAAGTCAATAATTGTTAGTGTTTTGTACATGTACAATCTTAGATGTGAAGGGCTGTCTGAGGTCGTAAGACATCGAGTTTGCAAAACAGATACTAAAGCGTGTTTGGGGGGCAATGGCAGAGCTATTTGCTTGGTCTGCTTTCAGCTAACTTCAGCTTTCCAAAGCACACTCCAAACATAAAGATGAGAATTGTTTTTTGGTTGTTCTGAGACTAGGACTCAAACAGGGTACTGACACTTTGCTCTTTGACTGGCACTCTACCAACTGAACCATTCCTCCAACCCTGAAGGGTTGGTTATTTCCCTTTCCTTTTCTTCTTTTCTTTTCTTTCCTTTCCCTTTCCCTTGCCCTTTCCCTTTCCCCTCCCTCCCTCTCTCCCTCCCCACCTCTCTCTTTTCCTTCCTTCCTTCCTTCTTCCTTCCTTCCTTCCTTCCTTCCTTCTTCCCTCTCTTTTTCTTTTTCTTTCCTTCCCTCCCTCACTCCCTCTCTCTTTCTTTTTAAAATTTTAACAAAATGTTCAAGATATCTTCTTACTATATTGTGTAAGATGAGCTGAAGAATATAGGAAACTTAGTAATTCCATATTTGTATGACCTAAGGTGCCCATCATTGTAGAATGTAATGCTAAATGTTATCATGATGACATCTTTATTTTTTAGCTGAGGGATCTAAGATGATTAAGAGTTCATCATTTCTTAGAGGCCACAATTTAAAACTCTCCCTCTGTGAGGAATCTTTTTGCCTGGGCACCAATAGTTCACACCTATAATACTAGCTACTCAGGAGGCTGAGATCTGAGGATCGAGGTTCAGATTTTAACCTGGGAAGGAAAGTCCGTGAGACTCTCTGATTAACTACCAGAAAACCGGAAGTGATGCTGTGGCTTAAAAGTGGTTGAGTGCTGCTAGCCTTGAGTGAAAAAGCTCAAGGATAGCATCCAAGCCCTGAGTTCAAGCCCTGTGACTGACAAAAAGAAAAGAAAAAAGAATCTTTTTGTAACTTGGTTCCCAAACCCTCCCAATTTCCCCCTTTTTGAGAAGATCAGCTTTTTATTTTGCACTGGAGCTTCCAAGAGTGGTCTCATATCAAGAAGGCCAAGGTAGAGACCTATGACTCTTATCATTGCTTTGTCCTCAATGATAGAGCCCGGGCCCAGACACTTAGATGAGCTGATAGCAATGATTTCTAAGTGGAATAGCTAAGATCTATTAGTGGATTCTGAATGACTGCTGGTACATGTTTGGTTCAGTACATAAAGCAATGAACTTAGGGGTTTCACAACTGATTTTTGCCCCAACTCTGACATTAATCCATTTTAATAAGTGCTATTGCTATCACTTTTTGAATACTTTCTGTTTGCTAATGTATCTTGCAATATGTGCGATCCTTTCCATTTATTTCCTCCTTTCATTGTTGAAAGAAAGAGCAAGTGATATTATTGTTGTTGTTCTTTTGATAAGAAAACTAAGGACGGGAAAACAAGCCACAAGCCCAAGGTTTCTAAGTGGCACAGCCCATGACTATTTACTCTCTACCCCATGCTTTTAACTGTATGCCTACTTGATGCACAAGTGAGTCCCTCACTTCTGCTACTGTCCTATTATCAGGTAATGATTAGACGGCCTATAAGCTTGTAATATTGAGAACCTACTCCATGACGGTAGTATAAAGGCATCATAAGGATTACCTCAGTTTACCAGGTAGATAGTGCTTTCATTTCCAGTTATCACACTAGGAAACCTACTAATGCAGCTTTTCCCAAGGTCATCCATATGCAATGTGAAGTCATGTTTGAACTCAGTATATTTGCATCTAGAATACCATTTAGTAGGCTAAATAATCTTTGTCTCCATCTATCATTTTCTAAACATGTTATATAACTACTGAAGAGTAAATTCTCCGGAGATAATAGGCAATAAATATTACCTACACTGACTAGGTAGCCAGCTAACTGCACTAGCTCCCTTCCAGACAGATAAATGTATTCTTTAGAAGGAAAGGTAACCATTTTGTTTGGTGTGTGGTGATCAAGAAACGTGATAAAGAAGAGACATTCCCCAAATTCCTTGGAAGTAGAAAGACAGTTTCGGAAAGGAATATGAATAATAGAGCTTATATGGAGCCATACTGTCAATACTGGATTTGAAGTACTCCATCCACTGGCGGATCGTGGAATCTCCTATTAGATAGATGAATTTTCCCCTGAGGCAGTCTTTCATGTTGACTTGAGCCAAACTACAGGAGACCGGGTTCCATGTGTTTTGCCAGACGTGCCCACTGGGGATTGTCAATCTGGTTCCAGGCTTGCATTTCTCTTTCACTGGAACTATTTCTTCTGCCAAAGAATGAACAAGGTAAGGATCTAACAGCATGTATACTATCTTTCCTAAAAGGGTAGTTGGGGTTGGTGGTAGACAAGGTTTATTAATGCATCCTCACCTTTGTATTTCAGTAATTTTTTTTCTGATGTGAGTTTCCTATATATTTCCCTTAATGGTAAGATAACATGTTTTCTCCAAGAAAAAAACAAATGACCTGATGCTACCATGTATTCATCACCCTTGTTATGGAAGCTATATCATTGAGTCATGCATAGCATGGAAGCTCCTTTAAACTACTAATTTAACTCACTTTGCCTCTACATCTGTCACACACTCCTGCAGTATCCTTCAGGGCCACCGTCACACTATAAATGGTTTGACTTAGAGGCCAGGTGGTATAAAACAAAAACAAAACTATGAATGATTAGTTTGGCTTGTGAAGTGAGGGAAAGGATTTGTCTATAGACTAAAAAGAACCCTGCAGGTCCAAAAGGGGCTAAGCTTTCTTCTTTGCTCACTGGTTCGTGAAGGCTCTGAGCCATAGGAAGGTGATGTTGGCAGGCGTGGAGCAGTGGCCGTGCGTCACCTCAAAGGAGTAAGTTAGTATTTTTACAGTGGGCATGAGTTTGGCCATGCATCTGGGCTGAAAAGGACCATTCTTCTGTCAGGTGCAATGTTTTTACTTCGGGGTGGACAAGGGTGTTTGGATAATTAGAGATATGTTAATGCCGAATTTAGACATAAAAGTTATTGCCTAAAATCCTTTCAGGTGGGGGTTTTCTAGATGGTAGTAAATTATGTAGTATTATGTAGTAAGAATGTCTGGAAAGGTGGCAAAAGATTTAGGAGGAGAGAAGACTCCTAGCTGGTAGGCTGGAAGCCTTAGATTGGGCTCATTGGCAACCAGAAATATGGGAGGGAGGTGAAGAATTAGGTAGAGTTCTTGACTTTCAGGTGTTTTAACATTGGCGGTTAGTGTCAGACGATGAATAGTTTGGTGATATTATATGTAGTTACAGGCAGGTTTGTGATACCCTCATTCTTCCAAGCATTCCCTCTCATTGCGACCTGGTACCATGGCCGGCCTTAGTTAAGTAGTTGAACAGAATGCAGAGAGGATAGACAGTTCATTGGCCAGTAGAAAAGGAAACTCTTCAGGTGGTCTTCTAGCAAACTAGGGGCACTTACCTTTGCATTTGGAAACATTAATCGGTTTGAATTTTTCTAAAATCTCCACACCTACATTTGACCTTAAAGAGAAAGATATTGCACACACAATTAGACCAAAGGAGGATACTCTTCGGAGAGGAACACAAAGGCAATTTCTATGTGCATCTGATCATGTAAAATAATATTTATCAGAAATAAACTCCAGTTGGGCTGGGAAGGTGGCTCAGTGATAGAGCACTTGCCTTGCATGCATGAGGCCCTGGGTTCGATTCCTCAGCACCACATAAGCAAAAAGAAAAATAGCCGGAAGTGTTACTGTGGCTCAAGTGGTAGAGCACTAGCCTTGAGCTAAAGAGCTGAGGGACAGCGCCCAGGCCCAGAGTTCAGGCCCCATGACCGGACCCCAAAAAAACACCCCAAAAATGAACTCCAGGAAATGGAAACCAGTTTTTTTTCCTTTTTTGCTATTTTTGATTTCTTTCCTTTTTGTCTTGTTTGTTAATTTATCTATCTTTGGGAAGATAAGGGGGAGGGCACAGTTATACAGGGCAAAGGGTGAACAAATGCAGCAGTGGTACTCACCAGACATGATGTTGAAGATGAACTATACAACTTGTGGGTGGATGGGAGGGAAAAACTGGGCAGGAGCGAGGGGAGGGTTAACATGGTACACAAAGAACTATACTCTTTATCTGACTTATGTAACTATAACCCCTCTTTACATCATTGTTATAATAACAATACAGTTTTAAAAAAAGACATTGCAATTATTCTACAGGTGCTCAGATCAAAATACACTCAAGAAGCTAGAGTATTCCATTATTAGTGATAATATTGTTATTTGTTAATGATAAACTGATTACTGTGGCTACTGTATCAGGCTTCTTAGTGAATTTCCATTTCTCTACCTCTTAGATCGTGGAATATAGTTCCTCAAGAGTGTACAATTCGGTGTATTGAGATCGAGAAATAATGTATTAGAGCACATACATATGTTTAGTACTTGTTGTAGTGTGCATTTTGCCTGTATTTTTTAAAATTTATTTTTGCCTGTATTTTTTAGCTCATTGATAAGGTCACCAAAGTTTGGTGACCAGCCCCAAATGAGTTTATAATTCCTTTCCCAAAGAGCTCCTCTTAAACAATCCCTAAGCCGTGACACAGGGAGAATGTCCTTCTGACATATAGACCAAAACCCAGCAATAGTATCACCTTTCAAAGAGGCTCCTTTCTTGTTTGCTAAGATAGGAGACGTCCTTATTCTTGGAGTACATGTGCGTGAGGGCAGCGCAGGGGATGTGCGGTGGTTTCACACAGTAGAAAGCTTCTTGGTCTTGAGCATCCAGGTACTGGCACAGCTCAGCACTCGAGTTGAAAGCCAGGGCACAATCGCTATAGACCTTGGTGGTGCCACTGAGAAACTGCCCGGTGAAGATGACCCTGTCATAGCCTTGGTTCCTTGCCCTCCAGAGAGCAGACACCCCTTCACTGGGGTGGATGAGCATGACCGACAGGGAAACCTGACCTTCCCAGAACAGAGTGAAGCTGACCAGGTAGGTGCCGTTGTTGAAGTCCGTCACCTTTCCCGATGCACCTGCCTTCAGGGCTGGGGAGGACATCCTGGCCCTCAGGAAGTCCCCGCCATATTCCTTCCGATGTCCCAAGTGGTCCCTCATCTCCAGAAGGATGTCTAGCTGGTCTCCTTTGCAGTACGAGTCTTGAGGGTTGAGGATGACGGCTCTGCTGTGTTTGGCACTGGTGGTGGTGGTCATGTGGGTGAAGGGTCTGGGTGGGATCATCTGGTTTAGTTTCCCTATGATCTCCTTGACTCTCGGCTCCATGTTAGCTGGTGAAACTGCTGGGTTCAGCTGTGCTTTGGGGCACGAGGACTCTCTGGTGACGTTCCAGAGTTGCAAGGAGATGGGAAACTTGAATGAAGTCCATATCTGAAATGACAAGAAACAGGATAGAGCACATAGACAATGTTCCTATTCGTGTACTAATTTTTGTTTTGTAGATTGGCCAGCTTTTATCTTCATGGAGTAATGAGAGGCAAAAAAATTAAGCAACACTGTAGTTTCATGGTCATATATGTTTTCTATGCCAGGTGTTTTTTCTTTAAAAAGGTGACTTTAATTTTCATTGGCTAATCTATTTTGGAAGAGCTAGTCAACCCCAGACTCCTACAGGGAACTCTGAAAGTGAGGGTTATTAAACCTTCATTACAGGGAAGCTGTGAAAAGTCCATGTAGAGAATGAACGCTTTAACAAAAACCTTAAAACTAAAATTTAGTGAAAAACGATTTATCTCAAACAGAAGCTGAGTTGCTCATCACTACCGCACAATCACACACCACATCATACCACAACTACCTTTACACAAAATGCTAAGAGTAGTACTTGACACTGAAAGATAAAAATGATATTAACAACACAAAGGCAAACAAAAGTATAAAATACACTGGTAACAATAAGAACCCAGTCAAAATTAAAATACTCTAATAATAACTTTTGTATGTAGGTTAGAAAACAAATACAACTATCTAAGACAATACTTACTGTACATATACGTACAATATAAAAAAGATGTACTGTGAAGACTGAAGAAAGAAACTGAAGACAGTAAGAGACACAAAGTTCTCATGTTCATGGATTGGCAGAACTAACACTAAGAAAAGGGCTATCTTCCAAAGCCGTCTACAGATTCAATGCAATTCCCATTAAAACCCCACTGTTGTGCTCTGCAGAGACAGAAAAGTCAATCCTAATGTTTGTTTTGAAGCACAGGAGATCCTGATATGCTAAAGCAATTCTCAGCAAAAAGAGCAATGCTGGAGAAATCCTAATACCGGACTTGAAGTCATACTACAGAACCATGGTAACAAAAATCAGCTTGAATATCAGCACAAAAACAGACTGACCAGTGGAATAAAGTAAATGATCTGGGTATTAACTCACACTGTTCAAGAGACTATCTCCACAGAAGAAGCTGGGTGTGGTGATGCTCACCCACCAGCTATGGCAGGAAGCATAAATAAGAAGATCATGATCCAGCCTGGCCCAAGCAAAAAGCAAGACCTTATTTCAAAAATAATCAGAGAAAATATGACCAGAGGCATAACTCAAGTGGTAGAGCTTCTGCCTTGCAAGAGTTGAAGCCCTGAGTTCAAACCCTGGTACTGTCAAAGGAAAGAACAAAGGTTGTCAAACAGAACATTTAAAAGTGTTCATGGAAGCTGAGCACTGGTGGCTCAAGCCTGTAATCCTCGCTACTCAGGAGACTAAGATCTGAGGATCACTGTTCAAAGCCAGCTCTTGCAGAAACATGTTAGTGTCTTCTGTCCAATTAGCAAAAAGGCTGAAAGTGGAGGTGCGATTCTAGTGGTAGAGTGCCAGCCTTGAGTAAAAGCAGGTGAGAGCAGAAGACTGTGTTCAAGCCCCAGTACCAGCACAAAAATCAGCAACTATTTTAGTAAATGTTTGGACAGAGAACAGTCTGATATTGGAGTAGGGAAATGTTTCCCTCGAAAAGCATCAATTATGTTTTAAAGGCAGATACATAAAAACATAAATGCCCTATTCCCTAGAAACTGCCTTATAGGTTTGAAAAGATGGATGTAAATGATCGTTGGGATGCATAGGTCAGTGGAAAGGCGGGATGTCGGTGTGTAAACACACCCCCAGCCTTGTCCCCAGCTATACTACTATTGTTTGACAATCAACAGCTGTATTGCTTTGTGTAAGGTGTTCAAACGACACTACTACAGTCTGTAGATCACCAGCTTGAACTTTGCTAGAATAAGAGAAATGCCGAGTAAAAAAGTATACTTTGTTTTTTAAGGACAAAGAAAAGAATTCCTACCTTTGTGGAGTTTTGGAAAACTGTGAAAGTGATCAAGGAGGCTAATATAAGCGACAGTACCAAGAGCGATCTACGACTTGCCACGGCTGTTTTCATGATCGGGATCCTATAGGAAACATTACAAAGAAAGTCACACAAACGTACCATGAAACCACACAAAGGGAAACGTGGGAACATGTGGCATTTTTTAATGCCTTCTGATTATTTTCAGTCCTTGGATAAGTTACTTCTGGAACTAAATATTCCCCTCCCAGCTGCCGTCCCTGGCTATCAGCTTGTATGTTCTGTAGAGAAGATGTCCCAGCACCCACCATGAGCTTAAAAAGACAAGTCAAGAACCTGAAGCATGCCAGCTTGCTGGTGTCCAGTGATGTCTCCAGGTTCCGGGTCATCACACTTCCTTATTCTCTTCCCTTAAACAAACAGCAGGCAAAAAACTTCAACAAACTTTGACATATATTTGTCACAGTGCTCTTCAAATGTATATTGATCTTTCCTACTTCCTAATTCCTGTTTTACCAGCCTTTGAAGCACTATGAAGCTTTGGAAGGATTTATTTTTTAAAGCTCCCACTTACTACTTTTCAAATACTTTGGAGTCTTTATCAGTGGTGTGCTGTTTCATTTTGTTTTGTGCTTTGTTGTTTTCTTTCCTTCAGATGAGTAGTTTTGGAATTTCAACTTGTCATTTGAAGCCAAGACGCTTTACAAGACACTAAGTTGAAAATGAACTGTACAACTTTAGGAGGGTGGGGGCAGCAGTGGGGAGGGAAGGGATTGGCTGGGGAAAGACAAAGGAGGGTGTAACAATGCTCAAGAGGAAATGTACTGATGACCTTACTCATGTAACTGTAACCCCTCTGTACAGTATCCTTACAATAATATATATATATATATATATATATTTAAAAAAAGCAGTAACATTTTTAAAAAGCCATATTGCTTTGGCTAGGGCTGGAAACCAACCGTAGAGCCTCCGTCTAGCATGCATGAGACCTCAGGCAAAACAAAACAAAACAAAAAAACATTGCATTGTTTCAATGTTGCCTTTCTAAAATTGTGTACTCTTCAAAAGAGCACCTACTTTATTCCTGAACGCCTTGCAGTGTTTTACATATATATTAAAGGGTTTTATGACATCTAAAGAACAAATGTTACCATTCTCACCTGCTCCACTTGCAAGTATTTTCATACCTTGAGTGTGAAGACTTTGTTCTGTCTCATGCCTAGGAACTCAGCAAGCTTAACGTGGAGTTTTTCTTCTGAAACTACCAGTTCACTACTGGGACATTTTCTCTCTGAACCCAAACTAGCAGATATAATAAGCTGCAGTGTGGTGAACACTTTTGTTATGATTCATACCTTCTGCCTATTTATGCTTGCAGACGTCAGCATACCAGCTCCATCTTAAGGAGGGGCCAGGATCACAAACTGGAGTTATCAGATCAAGTGGAGAAAGGAGAAATGAAATGCTCCAAGAGTAGATAAAATGATTTCAGTATCCTGAGACTATAGGATTCTAATGCTAGAAAGCTGGTGATTGATGTCTGACAAGGCAAAAGGGACTAGAGCCAGGAGTCTGAATGATTGCATTGTTACTTGTGGAAGAGGAAAACTTCCTACTTCCCATGTGAGCCTTGTGTTCAAAACCCAACTGCTGGGATTCAAGTGCATATTATCTACTCAAAGACTTTGCTGAATTGAGCTAAGAAGAACCTCAGTTTCAATGAAGTCCAAACAATAATACTGATTATTCCCCATAAGAGAATGAAAGCTCAAATTCTTAAGTCTGAGTCTGTCTGGGATTTGTGTACTTGTTAATTTTCTAATTTATTTTTGTGCGTGTGTTGGTACCAGGGCCTGGGTACTTTTCCTTGCCTTTTTCCTCAGGGATAGTGTTCTACCACTTGAGGCACAGGCTCCACTTCTGGCTTTTTGGTAGTGAATTAAGAGATAAGAGTCTCACAGACTTTCCGGCCCTTGCTGGCTCTGCATCATGCTGAGCAGCTAAGATTACAGGTGTGAGCCACAAGTGCCTGCTGAAATATTTCTTTTTTTTTTTGGGTCCGGTCGTGGGGCCTGAACTCTGGGCCTGGGCACTGTCCCTCAGCTCTTCAGCTCAAGGCTAGCGCTCTACCACTTGAGCCACAGCGCCACTTCCGGCTTTTTTCTTTTTGCTTATGTGGTGCTGGGGAATTGAACCCAGGGCCTCAGGCATGCAAGGCAAGCGCGCTACCACTGAGCCACCTTCCCAGCCCCATGCTGAAATATTTCTTAACGACAAGATAGCATACCCAGCTTTTAAACTATTTGAAGGAAAATGCAATGCATAAAAACAGAGCATTTAAAGCATAATCAATAAGAAAGATATTAATTGGAAGGTCTGCCCTAACTTGGCTAGATCACATGAGCAGAATGTTGAAAATGCCATGAAGCTGAGACTCACCCAGTGTCAAACTTCATCAGAAAACCTGGACAAATTATTTCAATATTTTTCTGTGTTCTCTCTTCTCTAAGTCAAGAATGTCTAGTATGCCTATCTCATACAAAGATGCAAAGTTCACATTTAAAAAAAACTAGTGTCTATATGATCAAAGCATATAAATCATAAATCTAGGACTCAAAGTAGGGTGTTAACATAAGTGGCCTCTGGCTCCTAAGGAGCAGCAAGTCAAACCCTTTTGCAAATATTCTCTATTATAGATGCCTCGGAGCACAGCTGAGCAACCCTAGACCAGCCACCTCATGTGAAAACAGCTTTAGAATGGTTATTAGGTAAAGACATAAAGAAGTATTAAAGCGAGCTGGGAATGTGGCTTAGTGGTAGAGGGCTTGCCTAGCATGCATGAAGCCCTGGGTTCCATTCCTCAGTACCAATAAACAGAAAAAGCCAGAAGTAGAGCTGTGGCTCAAATGGAAGAATGCTAGTCTTAAGCAAAAGAAGCTCAGGGACAGTGTCCAGACCGTGAGTTCAAGCCCCAGGATTGGTGTGTGTGTGTGCGTGTGCATGTGCATGTGTGTGTGTGTGTGTGTGTGTGTGTGAGATTACAGTTTACATAAGTCAGGTAAAGAGTACATTTCTTTCTGGACGATATCACCCTTTCCTCATTCTCTCCTGATCCAACTTAGCATTTTTGTGTATTATTATTATTTATTTATTTGCTTATTGTTGGTTGTGGGGCTTGAACTCTGGGCCTGGGTGCTTGTGCCTGAGCTCTTCAGCTCAAGGGTAGCACTCTACCACTTGAACCACAGTGCCGCTTCCAGTTTTCTGGTGGCTACTTGGAGATAGAGTCTCACGGACTTTCCTGCCAGGGCTGGCTTTGAACCGTGATTCTCAGATCTCAGCCTCCTGTGTAGCTAGGATTACAGGCATGAGCCACTGGCATGGCCTGGCTGTTTTTCTTAAATTATAGTCTTATTATCTTTAAGTAGTTGTACAAAGGGGTTACCATTCATCAGATCAGTTATTTTTGTTTTAGGTGAGGAGAACGAGGCACAAGATTTTTAAGCATAGTAAATGGAAGATGCAGGCTTTGAACCCAGATTCCCAGGGCTGTGCTTCAAGCCTCCATGAGGTACTTCCAGAAGTTAGGAGATGTTATGTTGCAAAAGAGAGTAGAGAGATGTTAACTGCATAAATAGGAGGAAGGAACAACAACAAAAAATACTCCCTTAAAAAAAATGATTCTGTTATCAGAATGGTGGCACTTGACATTAAGTCTCCACTGATGTGGAGTCAAAGCTCACACTAGGGATCAATGCACTTCCCCCTTGGTCACCTGAAACACTTATGATCTCTGAAGGCACTGGGGTTCAGGGTATGTTGGGAGTCCAAGAAGAAGAACTCTAAGGTTCTCTAAGATGTGAAACTATCCAAGTTACACCAAACCAGTTACATATAAATATACATACAAATTCTATTTTTATTCACCGACATTATAAAGCAACCTGTTTCCCATGAAGATAAGAAAAGAAACAAGAAGACTGTGAGATAAAAACTGTAAGCAATAAGACCTTCTAGTCATATAAATTACAAAGCAAACATGTACCCTTCACCCCCCCCCGCCCGCCCCAAAATAAAAAAAAGTGGAAAAACTTGAAGGCAGATGATTTAGAAGGGGAAGGATTCCATTTTGTAAAGTAGGTATATGCATGGCACATCGTTACAGGATTTTCTACTATTTGTTTTAGAGATAATGTTTTCTTCATTCTCCATGTCGAATGTATTTTCCAGGATGTGTAGAATACTGTTTGTCCTTTCAGGGCTCTTTGTGTTCTCATTTAAGCAGCTGCTCATGGTTGACTAGGAATGGAAATACTAGCCAACGGAGATGATAGAATAAAGACATACAGGCCGGATTCACCTGTCATCTCTGTTTGGAGAAGATTATGAAGACTAATGGATTAAGTCTTCCCAACAGAGACTGTATTGAGATACTTATATTAGTGAGTTGGCTTTAGGACTAGATGAACCAGGGCTTGTAAATGTATGCTAAGGATTATAGTCCAATCACCTTGTAGGAGCTTTGGCATAAGCCATATACCATTTGATAGGGGTATGAAGTTTATCTCTAATACATATTGTGTGAACTTTGCCTCTAATGAATATATTTGCACTTTATCTCCAATAAATATTGCTTATCCTAGGAAAATGTATATCTGAGCAGAGGAACTGAAAACTTATAGGGCCTTGATTTTGGAGATAGACTACTCTTCTCATGGGGATCCTGAGAGTCAAGTTCAATCTGGAGTTCAAGGTAAGAAGATTCTTAAGTTCTCTTTATTTTTTGAAGGTAAACTTATATTTAGGGAGATGATGGTAATTGCGATTCCTTTCTGATAGAAGACTTGTTGAAAATTACAACTTTATCTCAGCTTTATTTGGAAGAATGAAAATGCCTAAATGTGTTTCAGACAGAGAAAATAGGAAAGAAAGTGACCTGAGACTAATTCAGATCAACAAGGTCTTCTATAGTCTCACCAGTGCTACTACCATGTAGCACAAGGCTGTTTCTGAGAAGAGATATCATGGCTGTAGTCATATTGGCTTATTTCTAGACCTTCTATTCTGTATCATTGGATTGTGTATCTGTTTTTGCTTACTATGGTCTTTGTTACTGTAGCTCAGTAGTATAATTTGTTTTAATTATCTTTAAAAAGTTGTACCTTGTCAGACATATAGCTGGCAAAGACTTCCTATTCTGTAGGTTGTAGTTTTAGCTTAGTAACTATGTCCTTCACTGTGCAGAAACTTTTAACTTGATGGAATCTAATTTATCAATTCTCTCTCTCATTTGCTGTACCCTTAGAATTTTACTTAGGAAGTTCCTGCCTGTGCCAGTAATTTTTCTTATATTCGTCTTCTAGCAGTTCCAAGGTCTCAGGTCTTACATCAAGGTATTGGATCCATTTTGAATTAATATTAATACAACTTGACAGGCAGGGATCCAGTTTCAGTTATCTGCATATGGTTGTCCAGTTTCCCCAACATCAATTGTTAAAGAGAAGAGGTGGTCTTTTGTGTGTGTGTGTGTGTGTGTGTGTGTGTGTATGAAAGTCTTTGTTTGTTTGTTTGTTTGTTTGGGTCGGGTCGTGGGCCTGAACTCTGGGCCTGGGCGGTGTCCCTCAGCTCTTCAGCTCAAGGCTAGTGCTCTACCACTTGAGCCACAGCGCCACTTCTGGCTTTTTTCTTTTTTGCTTATGTGGTGCTGAGGAATTGAACCCATGGCCTCATGCATGCAAGGTAAGTGCTCTACCACTGAGCAACCTTCCCAGCCCTGTATGAAAATCTTGTTTATGTGCTGGTACCAACTTGTTTATATTTCTATGGATCTGTAGTAAAGCTTGAAGTTTATAATTGTGATACCTCTAGCATTACTTAAAAAAAAAATCAGGATTGCTTTGACTATTCAGGGCCTTTTGTGGTTCCATATGAATTTTTGGGTTATTTTCTCTATCATTGTGAAAATTTGATGGGGTTTGTATTGAATCTGTACATGGCTTTGTGCAGTAAGGTCATTTTCATGATATTAATTCTTCCAATCTATGAACATGGGAAATCTTTCCATCTCCTTGTAGCTTCTTCAATTTCTTTCTTCAAAGTCTTAATAGTTTTTGTTGTAGAGGTCCTTTACTTCCCTGGTTAGGTTTATTTCTAGGTATTTTATTTTTTGAGGTTATTGAAACTATAGTTTTCAATTTTCCTCTCCATTTGCTCATTGTTGGTATACAGAAAAGCTGATTTTTGTGGGTTGATTCTTTTTTTGCTGGTCCTGGGACTTGATCTCAAGGCCTGGGCACTGTCCCTGCGCTGCTCTGTGCTCAAGGCTAGCACTCACCAATTGAGCCATAGCACCACTCCCGGCTTTTTCTGTTTATGTGATGCTGAGGGCTTCATGCATGCCAGGCAAGCACTCTACCACTAACCACATTCCTAGCCCTTGTGGGTTGATTTTGTATCTTGTTACTTTATGAAAAGTATTTATCAGCTGTAAGAGTTTGGGGTGGAGTTCCTTGGGTCCTTTAGATATAGAATTATATCATCTGCAAATAGGAATTGTTTGACTTCTTTTTCCTATTTGGATCCTTTTTATGTCTAGTTCTTGTTTTATTGCTCTGGCTAGGATTTCCAGTATTATTCCAGTACTATAATGAATAGGAATAGAGAGAGAGAGTGGACATCCTTATCTTGTTCCTGCTATTAGGGGAAATGGTTTTAGTTTTTCATGATTTAGTATGATGTTTGCTGTAGGCTTTCTTAAATAGCCTTTATACTGTAGAACTGTGTTGCTTCTATTTCTAGCTTCTCCAGAACTGTTTTTTTTCAGGCAGGAAAAGTTTATTTACAGAACTGCTGCCCCCCACCCCCCACTGTGGTTGAGAAGGAAGAGGTGTGGTCAGGTAGGGCCAGGTAGGCCAGGTGTTGGCCACATTGATATGACCTCAGAGCCTAGGACCCTCGTAATGCCAGATGGGAGGCGTGACCAGAAGTGGCCCAGGATGTGAAGTAGCAGGAGGGGGAGGTGAATGCTTCCAGGTATGCCAGTTACCTAGGTAACAGATACTGGGTGGAAATTAGCCAAGAGGTAAGAAGGTGTCTGCACAGGGCCTGGGTGGCCGAGGGCAGACGTTACATTCCAGCCTTTTGATAATTATGAAAAAGGATAAAGATTCTCTCTGGCTACTTCCTGCTGGCAAGGGGCTCCAATAATAGGGGTAAAAGGCTGAGATGTGGTCCCCTCCACAAGAAGGCAGAAGGCAGTAGCTGTCCCTTGGTGGTAGTCTTTGAAGTCTGGAAGAAGTCCCATGAAGCACTGAGGGTCAGAGTAGTGGTGTGGACGTGGATGTGAAGGGCAGCAATAGTATTGGTGAAAAGTCTTGCGTGGTGTCTCAAAGCAGTTTAGCTCACAGAAAAGGGGTGCTTAGGAAATTCTAACATTTCCAACTCAAAAACCCCATCTGAGTCACAGCACCATATGTAAGGCATATTAAAATTAGGTAGATTTCATTAGCTAGCCGATGGAGAGAACACCATGCACTATTCAGGCAGGAAAAGAAGTTTATTTACCGAACTGCTGACCCAGCTATGCACAGTTGAAAGGCAAGGCCAAAAAAAAAGCTCCAGAGCTTTTTATCATAAAAGAATATTGAGTTTTGTCAAAGGCTTTTTCTGTGTCGGTTGAGATGATCATATAATTCTTGTTCTTGATTCTGTTAATGTGTATATTATGTTTATTGATTTACATATATTGAACCAGTGTTGTATCCCTGGAATAAAACTGACTTGATCATGGTGTGCAATTTTTTGAGTAATTGTTGGATTTGGTTAGCAAGTATTTTATTAGGGTGTTTTGCATCTATGTTCATCAAAGATATTGGTGTATAGTTTTTTTTCTTTTTTATTGAGTCCCGTTTAAAATGAGTATAAGGCTGGGTTCATAGAATGAGTTTGGTAGTGTTAACACCCTTTTTTTTTCATGGAAAAGTTTGAGGAGCACTGATAATAATTTTTCTCCAAAGGTCTTATAGAATTTAGCAGTGAAACAATCAGGATCTCGGCTTTTCTTTGTTAAGAGACTTACCCCTTTATTAACATCCACTTAGGTTTCATTTAGGTTTTTTTTTTTTTAATATCTGTTCTCATTGAGTTCCTTTATTTCTTTGGGTTCATGAAATTGATTGTAGAGATCCTCTCTCATTTCACTGAACATTTTTATCAACGGTCCTTCGAGCTTAGTATATGAGGTTTCCTCTGCTTCCTTGTGGTACTATTGTTTCCTGTGTGTGTATGTGGTGGGGGTTGTTATATTTCCCCTCTGTCTCCTCTTTCTGTGTTGGCATTTACTCCTTTGAAGTATGAGTTTTTAGATGCCTGAAATTTTCCTGATGGGTTGGTCTCTGAATTCTCAGTAGATAAGATACTAAGTGAGTGGATGGTGTTCCTGCGGCTGTGGGAGGAAGTACCTCAGCTCTAATGCTTTCTCCAAGTCAACACAGTGACATCTTTACATACTGTAGGATACCATTGGTAGCTTTACCTATATATCCAGTCTCACTGTACACACTGGGGCCTGGCACATTCCATAGTAATGGAGAGGTTAGGAGTAGAGAGACCTAGGGAAGAGATACGAGGAAGGTGGCCGGAGAGTGAATGGGTAGGTATGTAGTTCAGTTGTGATGAAGAGTGGTGATGTCAGCAGTCAGAAACAAGTAGAAAAGCTGAGGATGCTCGGGTAAGTGAAGGGTGAGGTAGGGTAGGTGGAGCAGGGACACAGAGAAAAAGAAAAGGAAGAAAGGAAAGAAGAGGGGGAAGAAAGCAAAAAACCAAAAATCAGTAGCCAACCAAATTGACAAACAATAAAAATAAAAAGAGGTAATCCTCAACCCCGGAATAAAATGAAAACGACTCAACCCAAACCAAAACGTTTAAACATACACACAAGGAAAAGCAATGATGAGTATTCGTTTTTAAAAAGAATCCTCTTGTCCCACCCCACACAGCATTCTTTGTTGAGATTCTAATTGATTGCCCACTAAATTCTCTCTTCAAGATGACCTTTCCTGTTCAGTTTCAGCTCCCTGATCTGATCTGGCTTGAACCAGTATAATCGCTGGAGGGAGAGGAGGCACGGTCCTTCAGCCCCAGTTAGGATGTCTCTCCTGAGCTGGCGGTACCTCGGGCCAAAATGAAACACAGGAAGTCTCCATAGCTACAGGTTGTGACCCGGCTTAACGGCTTTTCCTGTTTTGTTTCCAATAAGCCCCAGGCAGTGGGACACATACTCAGCTGTCCGCCACAGGACTATGAGTTTAGCCCTCCACCAGGGCCTAGCATCTCTTTCTGAACTTCCCCACTGGGATCTGCTTGGCTAGCATGGACTGGGGCCCTGATGGGGAGGTAGGTGATGACTGGATCCCACAGTGATCACCTCTCTGGCTGCTCAGTATGTGTGGCCACGTGTCCTGGACGTGGGGTATACATTGTGGGGACATGCAGAAGGCTCTCCTCCCTGCTCCAGGGGGTTCTTGGGGAGCAAGTCACTCACCCTCGGTGGATGTTAGCTGGCCTCTTTCCTGGCTTCCTCTACTGCAGCAGCTGGTGTGCACTGAAGTAAAATTCCTTTGTTTCCCGCTTCTCTGGGTCCTCCGGAAATGGCTGCCTCCTTTCTAGGCAGCAGAGCAGCTCTAGCTCTGGCCTTTGATGAACCTTGGTCCCTTCAGTTTAGGTAAGTTGTGTGCATGTGTGCGTCCGTGCGTGCATGTGTGTGTGTGTGTGTGTGTATGTGTGTCCACATGTGCACCTTTTCTTCACTTTTAGAAGTTTAGGATTCAATTACTTCTGATCCTTAGTAGACTGTCTGCTTACTATTCTGCCTGGGTCCTTAAACTGGTTTGCCCTGTTTATTTAAGCCCTTGGGTTACCTGTTGGTTGGAGGAGATCCTTAATTTTCCTTTGTAAGTGCTCCACCACTATCTTCCCCCAAATCTCAATTGTGGACTTGAGTTTTGTAATTTGAAGTTAGTTATTGTCAAGCCTCAAACTTTTTTTTTAAATTTCCTTCCTCAGGATCGCTTTGGCTATTCACGGTCTTGTGTGCTTTAATGTGAATTTTAGGATTGATTTTTCTATTTGTTTAGAATTTCTGTGGATATTGCACTGAGTCTGTTGATTGCACACACAGTCCTGCTCATCTGTGAACAAGGGGTATATTTCCAGCGTCTAGTATCTTTTTCAAGGTCTTATAATAATAAACCTTTGCTAGGTTTATTCCTAGTTATTACATTTCTTGAGGCTACCATAAGATTGTTCTCCTGATCTTAGTCTGTTCCTAAAGGCTACCTTACTAAAGGTGTTTATCAAATTAAGGAGATTTTGCGGATTCCCTACAGTCTTTATTTGCAAATAAGGAAAATTTAACTTTTTTCTGTGCTATCTGTATCCCTTTTCTTTCTTTCTCTTGCCTCATTGTTCTGGATAAGAATTGTAGCACTATATTGAATAAAAGTGGAGAAAGTGGACATTATTTTTCTCATTCCTGACTTAAACAGAAATGATCTTACTTTTTCTCCATTATGTTGGCTATAAGATTTTTTTAACATTTATTTTTTAAAATTTAATTTGTTTTTAAAATTTTTATGGTTATTATAAAAGTGATGTACAGAAGGGTTGCAGTTATACAAGTCAGGTAAAGAGTACATTTCTTTTTGGACAGTGTTATCCTTTCCCTCACTCTCTGTAGCTATAGGTTTTTATAGCCATTATTATGTTGATAAGATTTTTATATCAAATACTTATTAACTACGAAACTATTTTAGTGCACTTGTCTCTTGCCATGTGGTCATTTGCACATTGATACTTTGCCAACAAAGAGGTCATTATCCAAGAGGAGAGATGACCGGAATGGAGAAAGTAAGGGATGGTGAATGCAATCATAATATTCAATGTACGGATGTGAAAATAAAATCAGGTAATCTGAGGGGATGAGTGGGTTGGGAGATTTGGAGGAGAACGATGGAATGCACATTATTCAAGCTGCACTGTACTCATACATTGGCATGTTACATTGAGACAACTTGGTTATGACTATTTAAAGATAATAAAAATTATATACAAAAATTTTAAAAGGTTATTACCAGATGCATCTCCTCAACTGTGGACCCAATTCATCCTGTATTTAATTTGTTGCCTTCATATTTCTGTTGCACATTAGCTCTGTGGCTAATTAGCCCATGAGAGAAGTAATAAGGTTATCCCATGGAATGCTTCCCATAACCCCAATCTGATCCTGCTTACCACATTTAGGGAACTCAGATGACACTTTGACCCGGAGTTCAGAACAATTATTTAACGACGTCTTAGAAATCCATAGTGCTAAGAATGTGAGTAGACTTCTTCATAAGGATTGACAGTCAGGCATCACAACTTTGGATGCAGCTAAAGACACACAGGGTTCAGCTGTGAGTCACAGTATTTAATTAACAGCCCCTTCCAGAATCAAAAGATGACTAGGATGTCCCTAACAGTGACCTGGATTAAATATAGCTTCTATTCACAATTATTGAGATGTACAAAATCCGTTGCCTCCTCCCTTTGTGAGCAACTTAGTTTCAGATATGTTGGGTGCCTGTGCCAGTACCGCTGTGCTCCCTTTCTTTTTGTATACCTTACGTATACACAGGAGGCTGGAGTTGGCGTGTAGCTCAATACCCATACATTGGTAGTATAGTTATGACTTTAGAGGTTCATTAGCTTCTTTTGATGGGAAAGGACAGAAAAATGTCCTTCTTAGGATACCATTACATGCCCCCAAGAAGGTAATTGTTTAACTGGACTTATTGGAGCATGAAAACAGTTGCTAGAGTAACTCTAGTAGCCAGCAGTGTAACTAGGCATGGATTTACCAAGATTAAATTCTCTTGATGAATGGGAAGCCTATGCAGTGGTTGAATTGTAGATTGCAATATACGTTTGAGATGATTTTGGAATACATGCTTACTAACTCCCTTGAAATATTGAAATACTGAAATCATCAAGGAGTGTAGAGTTGCAAAAGAAAAAAAGAGAAAAAAGAAAGATGCCAATATTAGTATTTAATGTGAAGTCCCAAGAAACTTAGAAAAATAAGAAAGCCAAGGAAACAGAAATGCACATTATTTTCAAGTACATGTGAAAATCAAAAGTAGCCCACATAGTGAGTCACAAAGGAAATCTCAACAACATGCATATTCATCATTTAAATGGAAATCACAACGAAATTGCAAAATATTTGACAATGAGTAATGATGAAAGTACACTAGGCTTTGTGCGATATTCCCAGATTATACCAAGAGGGAAATATATAACTATGAAGGCGGCTATTAAATAGCAATGAAAATTAAAACTAAATGAACAGTGTGTCCAAGTGAAAATAGAAAAAAAACAGCACAGTGAATCTGAAGAGAATAGAAATAAGAAGATCACAAATATAAAAGAGTGCATAGAAGGTATACCAAAGAAAAGGACAATTAAAATGATCAACGGAATGAATAGCTAATTCTTAAGAGTCAGACTAAAAAATGTGGGTAACTTTCCAGTAAATTTGATCAAGGGAAAAAGAATATATCCAGATAATTAATTTGGGGAATAAAAAAGGAATATACGACATCTGACATCGGAAAGATTTTTTTTTTATAAATCATAAGAGAACACTGGAATGACTTTATGCCAGCACATTTGCAAGGTATGACCCAGTGGAAATATTTTTCAGGTATATAACCACAAAACTGATTAGAAGAGAAATAATAAGCTCAAATTAAAAAAGTAATTGTTCTGTGCATAGTGACTTCCGTCTAAATAGTACAGCATGGAAAAAGGGGAAAATGTGATAAATTCTACCTCTGTTAGATGACTAGTGTCAACACTAGTGCTCTTAATTCATAATATGTTCCTTTTGTGGCCTTTCTCCCCCAAACCTATAAACCCATAAACCAGGAGACAAATACCAGGCAAAGACCAGTTGAGAACACTCTACATAAAACACCTGGTCAATACTATTCAAAACAAGTTATCAGAACCAAGAAAAGTCTTGGCTCTGAACAAGCTTATGTAAGGACTTAACTACCTAATGTACGATGGGATCTTACGGCGAGAGGGAGGATATTAAGGTAAACCCTGAATAAAATATAGATTTATTGACAAAATATGGATGCTGGTTCATTAATTGTAACTATATATATATATAGTTATATTTGGGGTTTTTTGGCAATATTCTGTTGTAGGCTACACCTTTTCTGCCATTTTGTTTGGGTATGGTACCTGTTATGAAATCTCTGTATTTAGGGAGTATTAATTACCAGAGTAGGAAGAGATTAATTTTCTCCATACCCAAAGCATCTTGTCCGGAACATATGCATCATCTTTTCTCCTGAGAGCAGATCTAATGGAGAGCTGTCTCTTCTGAGAGACTTTATGTACATACTAAGACAACGTTTGTTCACATGTGCTCTTTCCTTCATCCCTCCCATTACCCATTCAAGACCCTTGCGATCCAAGCCTCCATTCCTCTCTGTAGTTCAGGAAGTTATTTACCCTCAACCTCTTGGTCTTTGGAGGAAATAATTCTTTGTGTATGGCACTCATGTTGAAGTTTTCTCTTGTGCATGTAAAGAAATTTGTATATGAATTCTTGTTCCTGTAAATCTACAGAGGATAATGGGAAATTTTCTTCATTTCCCTTAAAACATTACAGAATATTGAAGGACATAAAAGAAGGAGCTGAATAAATGGACATGTTTAACCAAATTAAGATGGTGGTGTAACAAAAGATACCCTAAAGCAAAGGAAAAAATATAAGGCATAATCCATATATCCAAATAATAAAAACAAAGAATTTTCACAATTCATAAAGAGCTCCTCCAAACTAAATCAGAAGAAAATGCTACCCTATAGACTGCCTATATGATCTAGTTGAACCCCAACCCTGTCTTATCTTGTTTATCTTTGAAGACAGGATGTCTAAAGGCCAAAAATTCCTCTTTAGGTGGGCCAACTGAAGCCAGTTGGATTAAAGATTGCTGCCAGAGTTACTGCTAAATGAACTCTGCATTGTAATGTAATTTCCATACTAACTGATATACCCAGCAGCCTCTAGAACCAGAAACACTAGAACACTAAAGGAAACGAAACGACACTCAAGTTCTGAGAAGTCTCAGCCTATTCTAGGAAAATGCACGAATATGCCACCCCCCTGTTAGCCTCTCTTCTTCCCCGATCCCATCCCATGTATGAACTTTCAGCTGCAGTGAGCTGGGAAGTTGATTCTTTTCTGTACTTCCATTGTTTGTCCACTGATAAAAGGCCCTGCCTAGGTTAGGCAGAATCAGTTTTGTTATTGAATTTGTGATGCAGAATGTAAAAAGGATGCCTTTAGGGTATTTCCCTCCTTAGAGAAGGCCAACAAATCTGTTGGTGACAAAAATGCTTCCTAAGTTGAAGTAGGGGTATCAAATAGAACTACTAATTAGGTTGGGTCCCATTGAGCTAATACCAGAGTCCTAGCACAGAGATCAAAGTCCTGGGGTTGTAATGTGTTGCAGCTACCCAATGCATTCATGAAAGCTATTGTTTGTAAACCCCCAATCTCAAACTTATTTAAGGTAAAACAAGGCTTCAACGAACATTTCTATTTTCTTAACCTTTATTGCTCTAACTTCAGAGTTTTATTGTGGTTGTTTGCTTATTTTCTTA